CTCTTCACAAACAATAGAAAGATGAATTGATATAGTTTTTTATTGGATTTGGATTCGTCGGGACTGACAGGGCTCAAACTCGCAGCTTCCACCTTGACAAGGCAATGCTCCGACCAATTGAACTAAAATCCCAAGTAAACACCATAATGCTCCGACCACTTCCCGGGCCCGCTCCACCACAATTGTCACATCCCGGCCCGGGGGGGACCACTTCCCGGGCCCGCTCCACTAATTGTCACATCCCGGCCGGGGGGACCACTTCCCGGGCCCGCTCCACCACAATTGTCACATCCCGGCCCGGGGGGGACCACTTCCCGGGCCCGCTCCACCACCATAGCACGATATTGTCCGCTTTGGGCCCCGACCACGCCCTCACGGTTTTGTTTCTGGGAACTCACGAGCAACTTCCCAGTGGGTCACCCATCATGGGATTGCTCTAGCCCCCTTCTCGCTTAACTTCGGAGTTCCTACGAGATTCGAACTGTCATCCACGAGATTCGAACATAAGACCTCTCACTTTTAAGCAAAAATATTATAAATTAATGTTAAGATGAAAATAAATACCCATGATATCTTTCTTTCATCAACCAGCCAACCTTTCCCGCCCTACGACCCCATTCTCCTGCTATCTCTATATGAAACCAACAATTCTTGGTGGAACCACCTACAGACTTGGCCGAATCGCATTTGATTCACGATATTTGAATCTCCAAGCTATGCTCTACAAATCTAGACCCAATGACAAAGAATGTGTGAAGGGGGGAGAGGATGTGGTTGAGTTGGAGGGTGTGGGGTGGAAAGTTGGTGGGGCAGATTAGAGAGGGGAAGGTAGGCCCAGGAGCTACTACCATAATTAGGGTTCTTATTTGTTCTTAAAATTAGGAAAACTAGCCTTCATGCACACGCGTAATATTTTTTGAATTACGGCGTGCTACGCGCGACTAATATGTTTTAAATGTATTTATATGTGTAGATTGACAAAGTAAATGAATAATCTTAGATCATGCTAGAAGAAACCTCTCATAAACCAATTAAAGCAGTTGAATCCACATAATAAAATTGGTCTTTATAAAATTTACATTAAGAATAGAGAAAATAATATTTAATAAACAACTAATTGAATCACATTATTGCTAGCTCATTGTGATGCTAAACCCACTCCCTCCTCTTAACGTAGATAATATCGTTTGTTAAAAATAAAAATAAAAATCATTTGACAATTAATTTAATCACATTATTTTCCGCGTGCTAAAGACTTTTTTATAACCGGTATTACATGCCTCTTAAGATGTTTTGAACATGTTTAAAAATAGAGAAATTAAATTACATTATTGCTAGCCTATTGTGAGGCACTAATTAAGAAAGAAAAAAAAAACTGTACCACAAAATTAATTATTAAAAAAACACTATTAAAATGAAAAAAAAAAATCCCCTACCTTATTTCATGCATTATTTTGGGATGTCTTTGAAGTTTTTTGTGTTTGGGGCATTTTTGTCCAAATGATTTTGTTGAAGCTTGGTGAAACCAAAAGCACTATTCACCTTTGTGTTGCCTTTGTATATAAGATAAACTAATTTATGTTCAAGTGGTTCACATGTAGGGTCCATATCAGCCAAGATGTAGGGTCCATGTTGTCTACATCATCAGTTAACAGAAATTTTAAAAACAAATAATACATTGCAACATAATGTAAAGTTTAGGTAGTAAATAAAAAAATTTAAAGGTTCAGGTGGTAAATACACACACTTGCAAAAAATCAAGGGGTAATTGTGCAAATTCATCTTATTTTTAATATAATAATACTTTTTAAACATAATTTATACCTTTTAAAAATAATACAAATTTATTACCTTGTAAAAATAATTTAAAGAAACAACGACCAAATTTTTCAAAAGAGGCGACAAAAAAAGATCGGTAGCTGTTAAGGATAAGACGACCAAAAAATCATATTGGTTGCGTTAAATTATCCGCGGCGAAGATAAGGTGACAAAACTAGTGATGACTTTTTGTTGTTGAAATGCTTGATAGTAGAGTTTATCGGACACTGATGATCTGTATCCATTGATTCAAACAACCTAAGCATAATTAAGGCGACTAACTAGAGCAATTCACCACTTTTATCATTTTATTTTGTGATTAAAAGCGTAATTACAAGGGTAGACACGTGTATATATATATATAGATCAAAATAGTGTAATTACTTCTTTTTGCTTACAGTAACAAGTAACACTTGACATTGTAAAGACCAAAATATTTGGGCTGAATGTGCTTTTATAACCCTTTTTTTTAATGGAATTTTTTTTGAATGTGACCGTCGGCAAATAGAACCACTCCACCCCGAGCCATGGCGAGGGAGGAAAGCAAGAGGAATGAGAAGCTGTCCTAGTTATCTGTGGCATGAATTTTAATTATCTAAGACTAAGCTATAAGTTCTAATACAAGTCACAATAATTAGTGATTAATTTCAACTTACATGTGCTTAATTACGTTTGGATTTTTTTTATTAATGCTCCATGTATTGTTGAATACGCTCTACAAAAATTTGTTTATTAAATAACTTGCATACCTTTTTATAAAATAACTATTTAGACTTAATAAGATTTTAAAAGAGATAATCTGTAATCATTAAGAAAAAAGAAAACTAGTGAAAAAAAAAAAAAAAAATTAGAATTAATGAAAAAAGACAAATAAAGATGTAGTGAATAGTATCAAGGAAAGGTAAAAATATGGTTTTTCATTAGAAGTGAATAGTACCATGAGTGTTTTGTTAAACTCCCTAAGAAAAATTATATTATCACGAGGCAATTGAACAACATCAATCTTAGATAGTAATAATTATTGAATTGTTTTACGTATCTTGTAGATGAAACTAAAGGAAACCAATATGGTTGATGAGAAACCTAGGGTGCGTTTACTAATCCGTAATCAAATTGAAAGGAATTGAATTGAGCAGGAATTGGATTGATGAGGAATTGAAATGAAGTGGAATCAGAATCAAATTTCTGTTGAAGTTGTTTACTAAAACTGTCTGGAATCGGAGTAGGAATGATATTGAGTCCATATAAGTTGTTTACTAATTCACTTTAATCGGAATGAAAACTAAGTTGATTACTATATTGCCTTTACATAAATAAATTATTTTCATACTAATTAATTAAATTAAATTCTTAATTAAATTTATATAATAGGATAAATAACAAAAACATAAAAAATAAATAGGAGAGGAAATAAAATCATTAAACCCATCATCATCTTCCCCACATCTTCACGCCTGAATTTTCTCTTTCTTCTTTCTCCTCCTCTTCCTCCATTTTCTGTCTCTAATTACAGGGTCCTCAGTCCACAGTATTCAGAACCCCCTACCCCACAGCTGGGATTTATCTGGAACCCCCATCCAATCTCAGGAGGACATCACAACCCATCACATCAACAAAAAAAAAAAAAAAAAAAAAAAAACCAGTTTTCACAGAGCAAAAGTGATAAGGAGATCGTTCCTTCCATTCGGTTTCGGTAGAAGTTTTGGTCCGCTGCAAATCACAATTTTTCTCTCAATTGAATTTGTGAAATGACGATTTAGGCGTTCGTTATTCCAAATCACGGTCATCGTTGAGGCATCGTTCCAGATCTCGACGATGGGGTGTATTATTACTATGAGAGAAACACACACAAAGGGGAGGGAGTGCAAATGGGTATTTTGGGTGGAAAATTTTGATTCCTGATGTAACCTTCTACCTGGAGTCCAATTACTACCCCTATAGAGGTAATCTAATTCCGAGATATTAAGGAATTGAACTCCCGATATTGGGTGGGCCTACATAATTTCTGATTCCTTACTTGCTGGTAAACGCCATAATACTTTGCGAGGAGTGCAATTCCGTTTCTCCACATTCCAACCCCGATTGGTAAACACGCCCCTAATGTTCTGCACCTAGTGACACTTCTGCAATCATCCCATTAGACTCTCAAACCAACGGATCAAAAGACAAATGAACTCATCCAAAATCTATAGAAAACGAAACCCTCAATCCATAATTGATAGAGAGTATGGGATGTGAATGTAGTATTGGAAAGTAAGTGGGGTGTGTTAATATAAATTTTAATTTAAAAAATGGATGTGAGGTTTATTAAGCACAGTGGAGTGTGGTTAACAAAATATGTAGTGTGTATAAAACAACCCATTACGTATTAGCACGTTTAAGTACACATAAATATTCCGAAACACTAAAGACATACATATGAGGACAAGTATGAAATCAGGCGACAAAAACACGATTCCTTATATCAAACAATAAACACATAATTAACTTGGTTCAGGAATATTATCCAGCACATGGGAATAATATATATCAACACAATTAGTTCAAGTAAAATAACACATTTAAACATTCTATTAGACTAAAATATTTCTGAACCAAGTTTTTGGAGTAAAAAAAACAAAAATAAACATTCTATCAGAGTAAAATAACACAAGTTGGCGATTATGAAACACATTATGTACAGGCGACAAAAAAAAAATATAAAGTTCTGAAATACAAATATTAGAATTTAACACAAAAAATAATACAAATTGGGGAATAATATTATTATCCAGGACATACATGCATGTGAACAATCTCTGACCATTATTTGCCACTTGATCGTTTGACAAGATGAACCCTAGTTTTTGTTCGGTATGATGTCCATTTTTTACCATTCATTACATGTTGATTAGTATTAATAATATGCATGCATTATTGTGTTTAATTTAGCCAAATTCACTCAAGCAATGTGCTCAATTCTCTGCACTTAAGTTCGAATTCTATTTTCCGTAGTTTAAATTAATTTACTGTGCATTATCTTAGTATTTGTAAAATATACGTATATAATCGGATTAGGGCAACTGCAAGATTAATCTTGCTACAATATTCTACCCTACGATAACTAGTTTATAGCTTTATAGGCTCCTCTATAAATAGCCCTCCAAATATGTGGCGTTTGCAACATTCAAAAAATAGTGAAAATGGCCTCAAAAGCCCTCTCTCTCATCCTTTTCTCTCTTCTCTCTTCTGCAACTTCATCAACATCTCCGTTTGAGTTCTTAGAGCATCTGAAGGGGGGTCACAAGGGTGACCACATTGAAGGCATCCATGACCTCAAGCTATACCTCGAAAAATTCGGCTACTTAAGCTATGCCCATGCCAAGAACAACCCTCATGCCAATGACGATGATTTTGACAACCTACTCGAGTTAGCCGTCAAGACATACCAGCTCAATTACCACCTCAACACCACCGGAACATTGGATGGCGAAACGGTGTCAAAGATGATGATGCCTCGTTGTGGTGTGGCGGATATCATCAATGGCACCAGCTCAATGCGATCAGGGAAGAAAAAGCACCATCACCATGACCCCGACCATGACCACCACAACCACGGTTCCAGTGTGCATGCAGTCTCTCACTATTCTTTCTTCAAGGGAAGGCTAAGATGGCCAACTTCTAAGCATCATCTCACATATGGATTTCTTCCAAACACCCCGACGGAAGCCATGGGACCGGTTTCACATGCGTTTCGAACATGGGCGTCAAACACGCACTTCAGATTTAGTCGTTCCAGAAACTACAAAAGGGCGGACATCAAGATTAGTTTCGAATACAGCGATCATGGAGATGGGAGCCCATTTGATGGGGAAGGTGGGGTTTTGGCCCATGCTTATGCTCCAACGAATGGAAGATTCCACTACGACGCCGACGAGCCATGGTCTGTGGGTGCTTTGGAAGGTTATTACGACTTGGAGACGGTGGCTTTGCATGAGATCGGACACCTTCTTGGACTAGGGCATAGCTCAGTTGAGGGAGCCATCATGTACCCTTACATATCTTCTGGAGCCACCAAGCTGACTTTGCATGACGACGACATTCAAGGGATTAAAGTTCTATACAAGTCTTGATAATGTCTTAACTAATATGAAATCAATAAAAAAACTTTCCATCTTTTGAGTTTTTCATTTCCTTTATTTCTCTGTACCAGCAAATGAAATCCATAGCCAATATTGTTTAGGTGATCAAGTTTTGTTTTGTTTTTTTTGTTTTTCCTAATATTCTCATATGCATTTCTTAATTAAAACGGTTTTGCGAAACGTTGACGAACAGACCCTTATAAATATTCAAATAAAATGTCTCAAATAATAAGGCTTAATTGTTTAGATTGGATCTATGAGGGATGTTGTGAAAAAATAGTTTATGACACCTTAATCGGTAAGATTCTCTCCTTCTTTCTTGGCAAATATGCGAAGTGTTGACAAAAACTTCTTCCAACACAATTTCACCGCTATCCGAAGAGAATAGAGTTATATTATTTAAGTGCGGACCCATTTAAGGTTAAAAATAATTTCTTAAGTACAACTCTTATATTAAATTACAAAAAAAAAAAAAAAAAAAAAAAAAAAACCCTTTGGTTAAAATTATGAAGAAACGTTTATTTAGGGGAATGGTGGTTTGTTTGGTTCGTAGCTGCACAAGTAATTGGAACAAATCTCAAGTTGCCTACGTATTCCTTTGAGGGGAATCACTGCCAACCTGTAATGGGATCTGGGTGGCATTTTGGATGGTCATTTGGATATGGTTTTTGTAGTGTTTGGAGGCGAATCTGGTGAGGGTGAGCTAGGAATTCTGTTTCGGTTGAATTTTGTGAATTTGGATTTATTTATTTAATGGATGGATTTGCAGTCTAATTTTGGGAGAGATCAAACTGTCGGAAATGTGTCTTAAAGGTCAATTATGAGATGATACTTTACAGATGTTCACATATTAAGCTAATTCAGTTTAATCTAATGGCAGAGATATTGTTTAAAGTCGTCTCATTAAATGTTATACACTCAAATAATTAGTCCAAAGAATATGTAATAAAGCCGTTCTTTCTCACACATATCATAAACATTCCTGCTCATAGGATTGTCAATTGGGCATGACAATTCAATAAGATCAGTACATAGTATGACATTATCTTCATAGGAATGACTAGTCTCGAGTCATTGGTGTGATAGATATAAAGACAAGTATGTAGCTGCTCAAATAGAGAGTAAGTTCACTAAACACTATCAAATAAGAGTTCCGTACTCATGTCATATATGAGAACTCACTAGTTGGGGTAATGCACAGTAAACATTTGACTTGAGACACCACAATTGTCTTGTGGTTATGTCTTTGACCATTTGAGGATGCGTCATAACCTCATGGTTTGCTCTGTGCATTATTGGGATCACTGATTTATTCTAACCTTCAAACTGCTGAAGGAGAATACCCTATGATATTATTTAAGAGTCTTTGTCTAGAGCACATGAATATGATTTAGGAAGAGTACACTCCAAATCACATTCACAGTAATCATATAGGCAAGAGGATCACATTGTATAGTAGACATGAATAAACTATCAACAAACAATGATTGAGATAGATAAGGACTGTATTGCATTGCAATTCCAACTAAATAGGTTCTCCACATTTTCTGCTTAGCTTAGGTAGCCATGACATACTGCTAAGTGTCACTCATGGCTTGTGGAAACCCTGAAGATTAGCAATCATTAATCTTCATTAAAGGAGAATTGAAAAGTAAGTTTTAATTCATAATTGATTAGTAAGAGATCTAGTAGCCCTTTGTCTCGCTCATTGAATGAGTCTTTTTCGCCACAACGGGACTATGAGAGTCAAACCAAATTCTTTCAAATTAAAACCTAATAGATTGTACACCGTGTAAGGTAGAGATTGAAGAATACAACATAGTTGAGTAAGTACAATTAAATGGTTTAATTTATGGCTAGGATTAATTAATCAAACGAATAAGTATGTATAAGATCTTGAATTAGTTTTGGGATTCAAGACCCAATGACTTTGAACCGTCAAGTCCATTAAGTTGTATGAAAACGTAAAGGGCCCAAAGGCCCAATAACTATATATGGCTGTCCATATAGAGAGAGCTTAGGGTTTTTCCTTTTTGTTGAATGCAAGGGACTACAAAAGGGGAGTTATAGCCTTAAGCTCATTTAGGGTTTGTGAGGGAAATGGAGAAAACACAACTATCTCTTTTCTCTCTTGGAGGCCAGCGCTTAGGGAGAATTTTACTGGCATCAAATCCTCGCCAAGTCACTCATCTCCTTTCACACCTCACCTTAGAGGTTCCCTCTATTGGGAACTTTGGAGACACTATTCCTTACCCAAATCCAAAGAGCCTAGAGGCTAATAAGCAAGGAATGAAGGTCATCTCATGGGTGAGTAGCCTTTGCTTATGCAAAGAGGAATCTACAAAGTTATAATGAGAGCTCTTCCTTTTCCTCTTCAATTTGGATTGAGTCTTGTTTCACCACACTACTAGGCTATGGATTTCATGATTAAGATTTGTTTTTGAGTGTATATGTACTAGCTTCCGTTCTTTAATTGTTAAATGCTCAATGTAAGTTGCTCAAATAATCTTAGTTTAGCCAAATTTTTCCTTCACAAACCACATGTAGTTCCAATTTGATTTTGGGCCGGCTTTGTGCCACTTGACTTTTGGAGCAACTTTGTGCCATTTTGTCAATTTGAGAATGACCGGGAATTTAGCTCATTAATTGAAAGTGATTCGCATCTACTAATTTGATATTTGTAATGGCGCAAGTCCTCTAATTTGAGATGGTCTAAATTCACTGTAATTTGATGCCGTCGAAGTAGTGGACACTTTTATTTTAGACTACTTCAACCCGGTGTGCATCTTTCTAATCAAATAATTTATAGCCTGCCGATTTTGCAGATTTTGTGATGATTTAGTCCGCATTAGGACTTTCTTCGACTTGAACGCAAGGGAAAAAATCTCAAAATTATTGTCGACATGTTTTATTCCCTCCTTTTTGTGTGTGTGAAATGTTTATCGACAACGTCGATGAATCATCTAAGGTGGGGAAGCGGGGGGACATTGCAAGTTGATAGGAGTTAAAAGGTACGATGAGATTTTGAGTAGCCGAATTACTTTAGGGTTTTGCACTAAAGTAGAACGCTTGTTGTGAGAGCAGGAAAATACTATATATAGTGATTAGGATTCTTCTAAAACCGTTTATTATAGTTAATAAAGAGATGTACCAAATCACTATTAAATCAAATTGTTGTTTTACTGAATAGCAATTATGTAATTGGTTAATCATAATCAAGGCTCTATTATCCTAATCATATTGGACTGATATCACTCGAATATCAAGTCACTTAATGTTTGGGCCCAAAATATTATGATTGGGCCGAGCAGCAAGATGTGCTCGGCCCAGGTAATGACCACTGCTATGGGCCACATAATGAAACCCGGACCAGCTGGCAGGGTCGGCCAGATCCTATCTTAAGTAGTACCAGATGAATGAGGAAAGGTCGAGGAATCCTGGTGCGACCAGGATTCTCGACCGGCAAAGGATATAAAGCCTCAAAAGGAGAATTCAGAATCCAGTAGGACTAGGATTGTTCGAGTTAAAGGTGAATGGGACAAGGACTCCCAATCCAAATCAGAATGGGATTCAAGGAGCGAGGTGCTATAAATACAAGAAATACGCAATATAAAAAACCCTTCACATCAGCACACATTGCCCTGCGCAAAACCTCTCAAACACCTTGAGATTTTTCCTTTTCTTTTCCTGCCGACACACCTTCAGTTTGGATAAACAGCACTGTGGAAGCAACCGGTGAGCACCTTCAGTTTGGATAAACAGCACTGCTGCCGCAGAATCAGCGGACCGAGAAACACCTTCAGTTTGGATAAACAGCACTGCGTCGAGGTCGACCGATTATCTATCTAAGTCTCGGCCGAGAAGGGTTTTCGAACCTTTGTTGGTAGAGGTCATCTGACTAAGCCTTTTCGGCATAGTTGGGTGTTACGAATTGCATTGCTCGGCGTATTGGACGCCGAGTGAGTTTATGATTGGATACTCGCAAGTAAGTTTCAGGGTTCGGCATTCCGACGACCGAACTACGTTTACCATCAAGACATACATCACATTCGAGTACCTATGCCCATATAGTTTGGTCTCGATTCGGCGTGCTTATACTCTTACGAATATAATCACAGTGACCGAATCAGGGTTCGACGACTTGTGAACTCCGTAGAATTAGTAGCCTTGTCTTCAGGCTATAGAACCCAGAGGCCGAGAGCGTTCCTTCCTCGGTCGCAATCGCAAGATACAGAAGTCAATAGCGCACCCAACGCGACAACATCACATTTTACTCCTCGGCCGAGCTCGGCCGACGAGTTGGCACGCCCCGCATTCAACCGAAGGACGTAGTTAGCTCATTAGTTACTCGGCCTGCGCGCCACGTAGGTTTTGTAATTTTTGTAGTCAACACTTAAATAATAAGTTACTTGAGAATCAAACGATTAATTGATAAGTTATTGATACAACGATTCTTAGACATTGTACCTTTACTTTGTCTATATTTTGGAATACATGTATTTTGAGAGCCTACAAGCATTGTACCTTTAGCTTAGGTTTATGTGTATTTTGCTGAACTATGGGAGAGATCCCACCGCATGTTATGTTATTCAGTTGAAGTATTAATTATAAAGAAAATTAATGAAAAAAGTTTGAAAACTTTGAGTTTTAATCAAAATGATAAAAGGTGTTGTAAGTGAATGGTATCAGGAGTGACTTTTTAAAGTAAAAATACCATTTTCGTTAAAAGTGAACAGTACCGGAAGTGTTTCGTTAAAACTCCCTTAATTATAGTGTTTTATTTGATTCCCCCCAAATTAATTGTAGTGTTTTATTGTTCATATTATTGCATGTTGTTCAATGGTATTGATGTTACAAAGCCAGTATGTCCGCTTTCATATATATCTCGAGACCAGAGCGTGACATTTCGCCCTTTCATAGTTTCTGACTTCACAACAGCTGATGGGATCCCTTGCTTCTTAATTGCACGTAGCAAACTCAAAACACCACGC